CCCAAAGCCCTGCAGCCATTCCCCCCCCCCTCTCCCCCCCCGATGCACCACTGTGTGCTCATCTGCCATCTTTATAAACTGCTGGAGAAATTAGCATTGCAGCCTAGGGTGACACCACTGCTCTCCTATAAATACAGTACGGGGAGTGTTGTCACCCCAGTACAGGAAGTGAGTCACTTTCCATATAACTTAATGAAAACAATAGGGGGAAAAAAACATAAAAAATAAAGAAGGCAAAGCAGCCATCACATCCGGGGACTGATCAGCTGTGTTATAACACATTGCACTGGGGTACATCTGCCATCATGTCACTCAATGAGCACCACAGAAGCCAGTGGACCGCCATATTCCTTCCCCCACACACACCGGCCATGACACCGCACATACTGATCTCCGGTGACCAAACGGGTGGTGGGGGGGGCAGGTTTCGGGCCAGGGAAGGTGGCAGTGGGCGGGCTAATAGCTGGTTGGCCCCACCCACTCTCGGGAGAACGGGGCTGTGCACCGCCAAGCCGCGGCCCCAACCCGCCACCCTTTATTTCCTCACCCGCAGAGAATGGCACTTACCTCCGGGGCGCGGACGGGCCGGGACGGGGCCACCGCCGGAACACAGCGCTCCGGAAGTGCTATGTCAAAATACCTTCACTCTCCTGCCTCGTTCACCCGGAAGTGATCCGCCCCCTCCTCTGGCACGCGTCAGGCAAGGGGAGGAGCCAGGGTGGCCATCTTGGGTGGGGAATGTCTAGTGTTGGGTGGGGAATGTCAAGTGGGCTGAGAGGGGTTTTCCTGCTGCTGAGGAGCTGTAGCCTGGCCGTGTTATAAGTCTGTGCAGGATGGCTTCCTGTGTTATAGAATCATGTGTGTTGGATTTGTGGGGCCCCTACAGGGGTTAGGGCCCTTTTAGAACACTGGAAGTTGTAAATTAACACCCATTGCTTTCTGACTGTTGTAGGATGATGGTATCATTGCGGTGCAATGGTGCTGAACGAGTTCTCAGTCCTTGTTCACACACGGGCGTGTTGACGCACGTTCACCAATGCGCTATACTAGGTACTGGCACCCCAAATGCAGCCAAGCAAGTGCAGTTTTTCCTGCGTGTTCGTGCCTTGAAAAAAAAAAAGTGAAACGTGTTGCAAAATGTATGACCTGTACTACTTTGCAGTGTTTGATGCGCATCCGGAGACCAATGAAATCAATGGGGACGTGCCCAAAATGCAGGAAACAAATGCCTGGGAACACATGCGTTGTCACTCTTGCACAAGTGGGAAGGAGGGCTAAGGGCCTGCTTACATCCAAGTGTAACGCATGCATGTCGGTGCACATTGGGTGAATGCGGCAAATTCATTTAAAAGGTTTTCCTAATGCAATAAAAACCTTTGTATGCACTAGGGATGCACCGATACTAGTATCGGTGCCGAGTATTTGGCGGAGTACTCGTGCAAATGCTCCGATGCCTAGCCTGATACTTCCGGTATCAGGAAGCCGGCTCTCTAGTCACTTGTAACGAGAGAGCATGGAGCCGGCTTCCCGGCCAATCAGGAAACCGGGCAGCGTGTAATGACTCGCTGCCCGGGATTTCTAATTGGTCAGGAAGCTAGACAATCAAGACCCCATGTCATTACACGGTGCCCGGCTTTCTGATTGGCCAGAAAGCCGGCTCCATGCTCTCGTCACATAGTGACGGCTTCCCGGCTAATGAGGAAGCCAGGGGGCAAGTCTTTACACGCCGCTTGGCTTCCTGAATGCGACTTTTGGTATCGGTGAGTACCGGAAAAAAAATATCGGTACTTGAAACCGAACTACCCTAGCATGTACTATTCTATGACTACAGCTCAGCGCCATGCAGGAAGTGTGTTGCCGTGTGCCTTGGGGGGCGCCATCCACACCTCTGCCTCCATGTATAGTTGGCAGATCATTGGTGGTCTGCTTCTGAAGAAGAACTCCGGGCAAAGCTTTTCTTAAGGTTCCCCCCGCACCGCAAGGGTTAACTGCTCGTCTAGGTCAGTGGTGGGCAAACCCCGGCCTTCCAGCTGTTGTAGAACTACAAATCCCACAAAGCATTGCAAGACAGGCATGACTCCCAGAGACAGATGCATGGTGGGATTTGTAGTTTCATCACAGCTGGAGGGCCAGCCCACCCTTGGTCTAGGTCAGGGGTAGGCAACCTTGGCTCTCCATCCGGGCTGAAACTACAAATCCCATCATGCTTCTGCCTCTGGGAGTCATGCCTGTGGCTTGCAATGCCTTATGGGATTCGTAGTTTCCCCACAGCTGGAGAGCCAAGGTTACCTACCCCTGGTGCTAAAATAATAAAGTTATACTCACCCGATCCTCGGAGCCGGCTGGCTGCTAGACCGATTTATCGCATTAATGTGCACCAAGGTGCATGGGTTACATTCAGTGCACAGATGTAAATAGGCCCTCAGCCCTCCTTCCCACTTGTGCAAGTGTGACAACACCTCCCTATCCCTCCACTGCAGCGGTCTAAGGTCTCTCAGTCATCACCTCCAATACACAGTGTATAGGACGTGTCGATGCCGAGGGATATACCATCGCTGCAGCACAGTGGGAGACAGGCTGTACCAGTCGGCCATCTCCGAGGATCAGGTGAGTATAACTTTGTTATTTGTGTACCTAGACAATAACGAGCACTTAACCCTTCCAGTCCAGGGGTAGCCCCACTTCAAGGGTTAAATGTGTTTGTTCCTGGAGTTCTTCTTAAGGGTTAGTTCACACCATGTGCAGTGCGTTCTGGTCCGATTCTGGCCGGAACGCACACTGCATCGCATTACGGCTGGCTCACTTTTTTGCTGGGCTTTGAGGGGGCGTGATGGGCTATGGAAGTGAATGGCACCATAGCCACGCCCTCCGGCCGCAATGAGATCGCCCGCACGGGATTGCAAGTCACATTATGCCTGGGGTCCGGAGCGATCAAAATGCTGCAACGGACTGCACTGCAGGCACAATGTTCCTTGCGACCCTGTGCGGGCGATCGCATTGCGGCCGAAGGGCGTGGCCACGGTGCCATTCACTTCAATGGCCCGCCACGCCCCCTCCATCCCGGCAAAAAAGTGAGCCTGCCGCAATGTGAGGTAGTGCGTTCCTACCAGAATCAGACCGGAACGCATTGCACATGGTGTGAACTAACCCTTAAAGTACTTCCCTTACTGGAACAAAGATTCACCCATTCTTTTGATTGAATCTTATGTGGAAAATAGGTGAAAAGATTGATCTATAGATCATTTTACATTCAGCTACATGCAGAGTACATAGTTCATGCTGCAGAGCAGCGGCCTCTAGCGGGGACTGCTGATAGTTCACAGCTAACAGGATCGCTCCTTGGTGGCCTCTAGCGGTGACTGCTGGAAATTCACAGCAGCTAACATGATCGCACCTTGGCGGCCTCTAGCGGTGACTGCTGGTAATTCACAGCTAACATGATCGCACCTTGGCCTCTAGCGGTGACTGCTGGTAATTCACAGCTAACATGGTCGCACCTTGGCGGCCTCTAGTGGTGACTGCTGGTAAATTCACAGCTAACATGATCGCACCTTGGCCTCTAGCAGTGACTGCTGGTAATTCACAGCTAACATGATCGCACCTTGGCGGCCTCTAGCGGTGACGGCTGGCAATTCACAGATAACATGTTCGTACTTTGGCGGCCTCTAGCGGTGACTGCTGGTAAATCACAGTTAAAATGAACGCACTTTGGCGGCCTCTAGCGGTGACTGCTGGTAATTCACAGCTAACATGATCGCAACTTGGCGGCCTCTAGTGGTGACAGCTGGTAATTCACAGCTAACATGGTCGCACCTTGGCGGCCTCTAGCGGTGACTGCTGGTAATTCACAGCTAATATGATCGCACCTTGGCCTCTAGCGGTGACTGCTGGTAATTCACAGCTAACATGATCGCACCTTGGCGGCCTCTAGCGGTGACTGCTGGCAATTCACAGATAACATGTTCGTACTTTGGCGGCCTCTAGCGGTGACTGCTGGTAAATCACAGTTAACATGACCGCACTTTGGCGGCATCTAGCGGTGACTGCTGGTAATTCACAGCTAACATGATCGTACCTTGGCGGCCTCTAGCGGCGACTGCTGGAAATTCACAGATAACATGATCGTACTTTGGCGGCCTCTAGCGGTGACAGCTGGCACTGTCGCAGCTGACTGAAGGTGGGCGGCCTCTAGGGGTGACCACTGGTACAGCTGACCGACTGTAAATGGAGAAGGGGCGGGCTCTTGGGCGGGGCCTGGGAAAGCGCGCCACATTCAGAATACACAGCAGTCAGTAGAGTTCCAGTCTTCCCTGCCACCATGTCTGAGCTGCTCCCCGGCTACTCCCCCAACTTCAAGAAGCCAGCCGAGATCCTGCGGTTGAGCCGGCGGAGGAGCCGCAGCGAGGTGGGGCCACGGGGAGCACTCTTCTCCCCGGGGGAAGTGGCGAGGAGGGTGCCCGGAGTCCGGCCATTCTCCCCAGGGACACAGCGCAGCGGGGGAGGCGCGGTGAAGAGAAGGAACCCGTTCGCCAGTCTAGAGAACACCTTAGAGGCGAAGAGAAGAGCGGGCAGCGTGCCGGAATGTGACTTCCTCGGGGATAGATGCAGCGTGGCAGCCGTGGAGAAGAAGCCGGAGCCCGTTCAGGTGAGCCCGGGGAGTGACTGGGTTAATCGGCTCCTTTTTGTTGACTTTATATTCCCCGCAAAAAAATGAAAGGGCCAGCCAATGGGAGGTCGCCACGTCACGGATTTACGCGTGCAGATGCTCTCCCAGGGAGGTCTCGTGACAGCCGGCATTGTGTACATGGCGTTGGTCTATGTCTCCTGTCTGGGTATGATTAGTCCCTGTTCAGTCTGAGCTCTACGATGTGTAGATCTTCAGGTTGAGCTTCAGAAGATAAGTGCCCCTTTGTCCTGACCTATGGTAACCCCCCCTCTACAATGGAAGACGCATACTTATATGGCATTCTTGCCCCACAAGTCTGACTCCTGGCTGCGCCTTACAGCCCCATAGGCTTCTATAGGGCTGTGTACAGAGATGGTGGGGCAAAGCTAGGGTTGCCACCTGTCCAGGATTCACCGGACAGTCAGGGTTTTGAATGCTGTGTCCAGGTTTCATGGCAGCTGAGACCTGGACACATGATGTCAGACAGACGGGGGCAACCAAAATTAAGATAGGGGCTATCGGCCCCCCAGTAAAACTAGTCTTAACTGTGATATTTACATACGAATAAGCCACGGCTCATTCTCCCCAAATAATGTCCGTGCGTCGCTAGAGTGTTTGGGTTTCACTGGAAGAAAAGGTGGCAACCCTAGGCAAAGTACCATAGAAGTCTATGGGGGTATAACGCACAAGTGCGGCCAAGATGTAAACAATCACTGGAGGCCGCAGCTGTTGGATCCAGGTAAAGCTGGCTAAACACTGAGCACATTTGGTCCGGTTCTTAATGAAGTCTAAATTCTAGGGTGGCCTGTTTACTGCCTCCCGTCTGACATTTTTCAAATAAAGAAACCAGACAGAAAATTGTCAGTTGGAGAGCACCGGCATCCAATCAGATGCAAGCATTGTTGGGGTATTTTGACAGCCAGCAGGGCCAACTGCGGCAGGAGGTGGTCAGGGGCTGTAGGAGGGCATGCGGCAGGGGGTGGTCAGGGGCGGCAGGAGGTGGTCAGGGGCTGCAGGCGGCAGGAGTTGGTCAGGAGCTGCGGGCAGGCATGCGGCAGGAGGTCTTGGAGAATGGGGACATGCTTCAGAAGTCAGTCAAAGACTGAAGATGCAATACATGAGACAGCTGGAGATCACTGCCATTACGTCCCTTTTACAAATCAGTGCTGCCACATTTGGGCTCCTTGTAGCCATCTTAAAAATCACTTGAATAAAGGAAAAAAATGGGATGCCCAACAAATCCTCCTTCTCTTTGCTCCGCCTGCTGTTCTGTTCAGCCACTGATGGCAAAAAGAAATACCCAGTATGTCCAGGTATGTAGGAGCATGTGACTTGCTTTCTTACACTTGAGGGTACTGCTGCACTCCTTGCCAGATATCCCTTGTGTGGAGAAGGGTGCTGAAATGACTGCGAATGAAACATCGTACATGAAATCTGTATGAGGGACATCACCAGCACACCATAAACTTGTGTCAAAGAACAATCTTCTATATAAGAGCAAGATGTAACATTACAAAGTGCAACGTTTCGGGGCTGCACAGGCTCAGCATTAAGCCTAAAGAAGGGGACCCTGTGCTGCCCCGAAACGTTGCACTTTGTAATGTTACATCTTGCTCTTATATAGAAGATTGTTCTTTGACAAGTTTATGGTGTGCTGGTGATGTCCCTCATACAGATTTGCTTCCTTACACATCACAGCTCTGTAGCTTGGCCTGGTGATGTCACATGAGGGTGCGGAGAGAGTCATTGACCCTGTGTAAGCTCCAAATCATGACCTGAAAAAGATTGTAATATTTATAGTCAATACTGGTGCCCTCAGATGCTCCGGTATACCACTCCACGGTCCTGAGTGATTCTATCAGTCTACGTTTATGAGAGTAACACATTTACTGCGTATCTTTTAAAAAAATCTATATTTTTATTTATAACTGAGTATAAAAGTACAACGAAGTAACATAATTTAAACATAATATCTCTTTTTAAAAGCAAGTGTTTATCAAGTACCGACTGATGTGGTAAGTGTCTAATCATTACCGCTATTCCCTACTTGTATATAAATGTTGATATTAAACAATCCATTAGGTTTATAAATATTGGCCCTGATTGCTGTTATATGTTTTAAAGTGTCTCTTTTATAGGATTATTCTGGCTGTTTGCGGAGTCCATATTTATAATATGTGTCCAGAAAAGCCTAAAAATAACCCGGTGCTTTATGGATACTGAAAGTAATCCATTGTTTGTTCTTTTTCAGTTTCATTCGGTGGAAGATGTACTTTGGGGGGACAGCCTTGAACCTGAACCCACTGATACCACAAAGATTGAAGTAAATATTGCACATTTATGAAGATCCTCAGTAACAATTGTGCTTTTTGAGGGGCTGCTTTACAAAAAAGAAATATATTAATATTACATGTATAACTAACACCTGTTACATACTTTAAGTTTTGCTCAACGTTGCTCGTTTTTGTTTTAGTGGTTCCTAGGCCTAATGGAGAGACTGAATCTTCTGGCAGAGAAATATAACCCTGACACCGGGGCGGGGGAATTAATAAGGATGTCAGGAGCCAGCAGGGTTTTTTTTTCTCTCTCATTAATCACAATTAGTGAAAACCTCTTAAGTTGGGCGCCAGCAGCAATTTTAAGGAGTTTTAGGCTACTTGACTCCTGGGATTTGTGCAACCCTGCCCTTACAGCATCTCCAACCCTTCTCTAGGCTATCCAAATCCCCCCCCC